GTTCTACACCATACACGATATACACCGAGCCGCCACCGAGGTTGGAGTGTGTCCAAACTCCGCCACCACCCGCACCGCCTCCCTCGCCGCCTCCACCCCCCCCCCCCCCCTCCCCCCCGCCGCCCACGCCTCCTCCCTCTCCACCCCTCCCCTGCCTCCATCTCCCTTCCCCGCCTCACGAGCGGCGGCATGCTCGCGAGCCACACCGCCGCTCTCACGCCGCATCTGGCCTCGCCCCCACGCGCGACCGGCCGCGGCGACCGGCATCGTCGTCAACCTCCTGCGGGGCCGAGATGTCAAAGTCTGCGCCGAGTGAGCCGCAGACGGTCTCGCAGTTCTGTGCCTGAAAGGTTTGACGTATATCTCCCGACCGCCTCCACGAGGGCAGCAAAGGCCGGATCAAATGAAGTCGTCCGCTTTGCGCCTGCCGCAGCACCAACGGTTGCATTCACATGCCGATTCGATCTTCGAACAAACACCTCCGACAATGTCCACAACGTCTGTTCCAGAGGCATCGTATCTGTTGGTTTCCGTACGTCGCCCGTGCCCCTATACCGCTTGCGGACAGCATCCGCCAGAGTGGGTTTCTCGTGGAAGTGCAGGCATGATGGGTGCTTGGGAAGGATCCCAATCTCGCCGTGCTCGCCTTTTTTTAGGGGTTGCCCGTTGCGCGTCGCGAATGGCCCGTTGGGCATTTTCTGGTTTGGCCCCATGAGGAGCTGATCATACCCTTCCTTGAGACGCTTGTGGTGCGGGTCGGTTGGTGCCAGCTTCACACGCTTGACATGCGAAAACGATTTGACGTGAATACTGTGCGAGCCTCGCTGGCCGTCGCTGAGGACGTCGTAACTCGTGGCGGCCGGGAACATTTCCCATTTGAAGGAGGCCACCCCCACGTGCGAGGGCAGGGAGTGCAGCAGTGCGGGCAGGTCAGCACCGGGGACATGCAGGTACTCGTCCACATCGAGGCCACCGACCCACTGTGCACCCCCCTGTGCCGCCCTTTTGATGGCATCGACTTGCATTGCGACTTGTGATTTTGGAGGCGCCCTTGTATAGTTAATCGGGATCATCGTCTGGGCCTGCACTGCCATCTGCTGCACGCTCGAGGAGGTCGACTCGTCATAGATGAGAAACCTGTGCACGCCCATGCACCAGTGGTGCAGGAGGAACCGCGCCAGATCGAGAGGCTGGTCTTTGACCGACACGCCCACCCACACCGGCGGCAGCTTGCTCACGCTCCCCGCCCATGGCCGGCAGCCAGTGGAGTTAGCCAGCGCCGTCGCGAGCCGCAGCATGTCCGGCGCTTGGTTTGTGGCCTCGTCGTGCTCGACGCACCGCTGAAGTTGTGCATCGTCTCGCTGAGTGAGGAAGCGCTTCATTGCACAGTCCAGCAGCGTGTGCTGCGGCAGTGGCGAGGGCGGCGGCGGCGGCGGGGGGCGCGCGAGATCCCGCTTGCACTTCTCGAGGAAGGGCTGAAGACTGCATGCGACGATGGCGGGCAGCTGGTAATTGAAGAGTGTCTGCGACCGTTGCCACTCAGCCCATGTGCTCAGCCCATGCCCACGCTCGTGCTCGTGCCCATGCCCACGCTTGTGCCCCGGCTTGTGCTCGTGCCCATGCACGGACACCGCGTCGAGGAGCTCTGAGACGCCAGAGCCGTAGGAAGACAGAGCAAAGGCCGAGCAGCCCAGACCGATCACCACGGAGAAGAAGATGCACAGTAGTTTTGTCAAGCAGAACTTGCCGAAGCGGAAGCCGGAGCGCGTCGAGGTCGGCTCCGTCTCCACGGCGCCCTGTAAACAGTGCGGACGATGGTTAGTCACGAGCAGAGCGCGCTGCACGGGCAAGGCAGTACGCTGTGGCACGAGCTCGAGTTTGAGCATGTTGATCGAATGAATTCCTGCAGAGAGTCAAGAAGCGGTTGAAGGCGGTGTCCCCGATGGGGCCAGCCCTAGCGGCGGCGGACAGAGTGGCTAGAGAGTGGGGCGGGTGGGAGTGGTGTGGTGTGGTGTGGTGTGGGGGTGTGGGGAGGGGAGGGGTGGGCTGGGTTATAAAGGTATATGAGAAAATCTCGGGCAATCTCGGCAGGGTCGAGCCTGAGAGAGTAGAGCTGCGCCTACGGGCAGCACGCCGCGGCGTGAGCGTGAAAAGGACAACATGATAGGCTGCCGACACACTCTCACGCGTCCACGGCGCTCGGACTGGAGCCGGGCGGCGACTGGCGAGCGAGCGGGCTTTGGCCGGCAGAAGGGCGGTCCGAGGCAGCGGGCTCGCGCGGGACCAGGGTGGCGAATGGGCAGCAGCGGACGCGTCTCGCGGCTCCGCGATGGCAGTGGCCGTACCTGCGGGCGGGAGGGTAGTGGTGCCAGGCCGAGGGGGGTGAGCCGCTTGATGCGGCGAGCGAGGGCGCATCTCCGAGGTGATGACTGATCACGTCTCGCTGCAGCGCATGGGATGGGGGGCGAAGTGGCCGGGCACGCTCGCGCAAAGGCCAACACGCGCCGCGTCGCGCGGGGCGCGGGGAGAGCCGAGGGACACACCCTGAAAGCGTGCAATCTTTCGCAACGAACAGGCGCCGTGGCATCGTACCCGAGTAGGGATCCCTACCGGGTAGAGAGAAACAATGGGGGCGCACAAGAAGTTCCTCGACACGGTGGGGCCGCCGTCGGCGCTGCTGCCGCGCACGCTGCGCTGTGGGCGTCACCATCGTGTCCTCACCGCGTCGCCGACGCCACTTGCGGCTCGCCGCCGCCCTGCCCTTCCCTGCCATCGCGCAAACACACACACACACACACACACGCACACACACGCACACACACACACACACACACACACACACACACACACACACACACACACACACACACACACACACACACACATTATTAATCATCGGGCAATAATTATTAATTATTAATCATCGGGCGGCGGCGCGGCGCGGCGGCGGGCGACGCCGAGCGGGGCGGCGCGAACACCTGCTCTGATCAGGCCTCCGGCCTTTGACGCAGGGCAGTGCCAGTGGTCGCGCCGCCCTCGACTCATACAAGGGGGCTGCCTTCCGCCCGTCGCTGCTCAGGCCGGGGGAGGGGGAAAGATCTCCTGTTCCGCGGAACGCGAGCAGGCCCCTCCTTGCCCGGTCTGCGATGCAGGGTGGTGGTCGGCCATCGGCGCTTCGTACACACACACACCCCGCCGCAACCGTCGCCGGCGCGCGACACGTTCCCGTCGGCAGGACTGTTCTCGTCGAGTGTGTGCCGCAAAGGCGGGACGCACTCAGGGACAGTGCCGACGGGACGCGGCTCGAGGGGCGACTCCCGCGAAGGCACGGGCAACCGTGGGTGCGGGGCTCGTCTTCGAAAAGTCGGGTATGGCTCCGCTCGCAAGCCAACTCTCTCGCTGACACTATTATGCGTTGCGTTTTTCTCCACGTGGCTCTGCACATCCGTTCTTGAAAAAGTGGGTGGGTGGGTAAACGCTTCGTAGGCCCCGGATGGTGAGTGGGTGGGTGGGTGGGTGGTGCTTGGTGGGTGAGTGGGTGGGTGGGTGGGTGGGTGCTGGGTGGGTGGGTGCGGGTTGGTCGTTTCTCTCCCCCCTTCGCGCGCGCGCGTCTTCGAGGCACAGCTCTCGTCGTTGCCACAGCATGTCGTTCCTCGCACCGTGCCCACGCGACGGCACCAGCTGACCGAGATCGCGCTCCCCGACGGCTGCCGCGTGCCTTACGGGCGGCTTACGGCGCCTCGGCGCGCTCAACAAGTCATCCGAGGGCGGACTGCTGTTACGCTCGACGAGTGCGACGCCGCTCTAGCAGCTCGAAGGGTTCAAACGCCGCCCGTAAGGCACGCATGTCGACGGGCAAGCTGGTGGTGCAGCAGGCGTTCGTTTTGGTCCTCGAACAGGACGGCTCTTTGGATGACTACTCACTCCGCTCAGTGGCTGCGGTCCGGCAGGCATTCGCGCTTGCTACCTCTGAGGTGCACCTGGCGAATGAACGCGACCAACAAAGGCTAGGCGCTCTCATGCGCTTCCTGGAGAATCCGTTGCGTGAGAGGTTTGCGGTGCAGTTGCAGGCCGCTGCTCTGCAGCCGTTCGACCCGCGCATCAAGCTGACGGCTGCCGCCACTATGCTGAAGGAGGGATGAAGCTTGTCGTTATCACCCACTAACTGCGCCTTGGTCCCGGCACTGACAGCAGTGAGTGCCCTGTCCGACCTCACGGGCGCTGAAGCAAAGCCAGTGTTGGAGCTGCTGCTACAGGTTGAGCGCACGGGTTCTGACTTCGCCTCGTGGGCGGAGGCATTTGCAAAGTGGCTCGAGGGTCTCGAAGGCGCTGATGATAGCTCCCTAGCAGTGTTGGGTTGCTATGTGCTCGGGAGGTTCGCAGTGCTGCCAAAATTGGGGGAGCAGATCTATGTTCGCATCCAGACATGCGCGCTCCTCACTCTTGGGGCATTCGCAGCTCAGCCAGAAATGCAGTCAGCTGCGCAGCTTGTGCTGGCCCACGCCATCGGCCAGCTGCGTGTTGCTCGTGCATTCGACTACTCGGAGGACTCGGAGGACTCGGAGGACTCGGAGTAGGACTCGGAGTACTCGGAGTAGTGGAGTGGTGTGCATGCAGGCTGCCTCCGTGATTGTGAGTGTTCGCTCACTGCCTCACCTTATTTTGCGTATAAATATGAACAAGAGTGCATTTTGCGTCAGTACTTCTGACTGAGACTGTGGCTAGACGAGCGGCCTACCTCCAACGGACGGGGCTGTCGTACTAATAGAGGAGACCGGCCTCTAAAACTAGTCTAAGAGCCCGCCGGTGCCCCGCCGTGCGCGCCGAACCATGCGCTTCTGGGCCGTCGCCTCCCTCCGCGTCGCCCTCGCGCCTCCCTCCGCCTCGCCGTTGCCGCCGCCTCCCTGCCTCCACCTCACCGCCGCCGCCGTTGGCGTGTTGCCCACGAGCCACGACGGGGTGGCGTGGTGGCGTCGCGACACCAAGCTGACTAGTCCAAAAAATAGCAAAATGCTAAAATACAGTGGGACATTACCTGTTTTTACTACTCTCGACGTGGAGTAGCTCATGAACACAAGAGCTCACGCGTACTGGCGTACTGCACGCGCTCACCACACACAGAGGGACCGCGTCACGTCATGTCGAATGTCGCCTCGCGCTCTGCCGTGACCCACCCGCCTCGGCCGCCAGGCCGGCAGGCGGGGCGGCAAGGACGAGCCTGGGCGCGATGGCGGCGTGCACCACGTCGAGGAGCGGCCGCGACAGCTCTCTGAAGGGGGGCGAGCAGTGTATCTCGCCAAAGTTCTCGACGATGTGCGACACGGCCGCCTCGACCAACTCGGCGCCGTTGTGCTGCGGACCAGGGCGAGAAGGGGGGGGGGGGTGAGCCGGGGGAGCGGCACGGGCAGAATCGGGGCCTCCGCCCTCCCCCTCTTTGCCTGGTCGGCAACCGTCAGCACGTCGCACACGTTCGCCGCAGAGAGCATCCCCTCGATCCGGTCCGAGCAGAGGGCGCGCAGCCGCTCGACGCCGAAGCGGTCGGCGGCGGCGAAGAGCTCGAGGGCGGACTCCTCGGGGACGGCGGAGGAGTCGGTGTAAAGGTGCTCGAGCAGGAGCTGGAAGACGGGCGGTGAGACGTCGACGATCGGCAGCTCCTCCTCGGTCGCCTGGCACGCACGAGCGTGGTGGTGGGACAAGGGCCAGGGCAACCCCTCGCGACTCCACGTCTGAAGACAGGAGCCGCGCGCGGAGCAGTCAGAGTGCAAGGCCTGGTGCGCGTGGGTGAGTGGCGGGTGCTATGTGTGTGTGTGTGTGTGTGTGTGTGTGTGTGTGTGTGTGTGTCGCCTCCCTCATGCCGGACGCAAACATGCGCGCGAAGAAGTCGCAGCGCGCGGCGAGCACCACGCGGTGCGCCGGGATCCGCATGTCGCCTAGAAGGTTCCTTGAAGGTTCCTTGAAGGTTCCGAGCACCACGCGGTGCGCCGGGATCCGCATGTCGCCGACGAGCAAGCAGACGTCCGAGAGGAGCTCGCTGTTGAAGTAGCGGCGCCAGTCCGAGGCGAGGCTGGACGAGGGCCGCGTGTCGAGCACCTGGTCCGTCCATTCATCAGTACATCTTTGCTCCACTCATCCATCGCTCATTTGGCCGCGTGCTCAGCGCCTGGACGTCGTTCAGAAAGATGTAGTCGTCCTCCTGCTCGTCCCAGTAGCGGCCGCCAACCACGTAGACGCACTTGCCGACGACGCCCGCAGCGTGGCAGGCTCGCTTGAGCGGGGAGGGCGAGGAGGGGGGGTGGATGCGCCACGCTAGCTGCTCGAGGTCGATCTCGCACACCGCGTTCGAGCACTCGAAGTGCAGGTCCTTGCCGTAGTCGTAGTACTGCCCGCCGAAGACGAGCAGCCGCCCCTCCACCACAGAGGCGGTGTGGTACCTCCGCTCCTGCTCACGGCTCGAAGTGTGAAGAGACGCTGTTCACACCACAGACGCGGAGTGGTACCTCCGCTCCTGCGGCCCCTCCCCGCTCGCGACGAGACGCGACCACGTCATCGTCGCCTACGAGTGAAGCGGCGGCGGTGAAGACCCGAGGATGGGCGGCGGTGGGGTGTCGAGCTCGTGCAATCTCGTGCAATCTCGTGCAATCTCGTGCAATCTCGTGCAATCTCGTGCAATCTCGTGCAATCTCGTCGGGCGCCGTGTCGAGCTTGTGCAAGTCGCAGAGGTTGATCGAGCGGTCGTCGCCGTCGAGCCCCGCGCCGCCAAAGAGTATCATGTCGCGCCTGGGGAGGGGAGGACCAGGAACGAGTCGCCAGCTGTGAAAGGGCCCCACCACACGCCCCCTGTAGCGCACCCGACGACGCACGCAGAGTGGCCCTCGCGCTGGCTCGGCAGCTGGCCGTGCGCCTACTCTCAACGACTGCTCAATCATAATGAGTCATACTCATCATGGGAGCTCGGCAGCTGGGCGCGCGCCTCCGGCATGCTCCACGCGCCGGTGGCGGTGTCGAAGGTGTGGAGGTCGTTCAGGTACACGGACTCGCCCTCGTCCTCGAGCTCTCTGTGCGGCGTCCGCTCCGCCTCTTGCACCCACGTCCTATGGACATGTCTCGGACATGTCACGGACGTGTCTCCGACATGTCCGCCTCTTGCACCCACGTGTCCCTCCAAAGATGAAGATGAGCCGGCCGATCACCGCTGCTGAGTGGCCCTGAGATGGTTCGGCAGAGGAGGGAGAGGGTGAGCAAGGAGGGAGGAAAGGAGGGAGCGAGGGAGGCAGGGAGCGAGCGAGGGAGAGGCGAGGCAGGCGAGGCAGGGAGGGAGGTGACCTCCCGCCCTTCCGGCGGAGAGCCGGTATAGGCCGGCTTCATCCACGAGTAGCTCGCCACGTCGAAGACGTGCAAGTCGTCCAAGTACGCGTTCACGCCCGTCTTCTCGTCCTCCCACGTGCCGCCAAAGATGTAGATTTGCTGGTCGACGACCGACGCCGTGTGCCCCTCGCGGTCGTCGGGCGTCGTCGACCGACCCTCCGCGTCTTGGAGGACTTGCGGATACGTCAGCGTCATGTTGACCGTGTCCAGCATCTGCAGCGGAGGGCAGATGACCTTTCCCTCCTCGTCCTCGTGCTTGCCAAAGAGAATAAAGACCCGCTTGCCGACGACGGAGCAGCTGTGGCCCTCGCATGGCCGCCTCGCCCGGCCCCGCGGCTGGATCTGCGACCACTTCATTCCGCAGCGTCCAGTATTCACTGGATAACGCACGCGCCAGTATTCGGGGCAGGGTGCCGTGCACGGCAGCGAGAAGTGCCTTGCTCGCGTGCGGCCGGCTGTACAAAAGAATTCTTTCTGCACGCTGGGACTATAACCAACTTGGGCGTTGATTGCTTATTTTTTCATAGTCTGTGTATGCCTTCAAGCGCGCTGCGAAAGCGATCTCCGAGAACACCTTCCGTGCCGAGAGGTATCTGCAGCGGGCCCAGGTGAGCGAGTCACTCCTACACGGCATCGGGATTCCGCCGCAATACATTGGCGCACTGGACGGCGACCTAGTGCCGGTCGAGGAGTACCTGCGCGATGGCGGTGGCGTGGACGTGCGCGACCTCGGGCGGTGCACGATGCTTTACTTTGCGGCCGAGGCAGGCCAGACCGAGGTCGTGAACATGCTGATCGAGCACGGAGCCGACCGGAACGTGCAGATCGAGACGGGCGAGACGCCGCTCATCGCCAGCGTGCTGCGCGGCCACCTCGGCGTCTTCAACGTGCTCATGCGCGCCGGCGTCGACGTCAATCTGGCCGACGAGGAAGGATGGACGCCCCTCATGTACGCGGCGCAGGACGGACGCCTCGCGTGCCTCGGCGGTCTGCTCGCCGCCGGCGCGCTCGTCGACGCGGCGTCCACCGCAGAGGTCGACCTGAGGTTCCACAAGAATCAGACTCCGATATTTCGGGTGCCGCCACGCGGCGAGACGGCGCTGCTGATCGCGGTCAAGAACAGCCAGGGCACGGGCGTCGTCAACCTGCACGCGGCGCAGCAGGGCCTCATCCCGTGCCGCACCGAGCATGTGGCGACGGTCGCCGCCTTGCTCAAGGCCGGCGCGAGCCCAACCCATCGGGACGCGAGGGGAAATAGCCCCACCTCCTTCGCGCTCGGTCGCGGGATGCGCGAGATTACGCGGCTCTTCCAGAAGCACGCGGCGCCGCTCCTTGAGAAGCGCGTGCGCATCCACGGCCTCGTCAGCCGGCCGGAGCTCAACGGCCAGCTTGGCGGCGCCGTCTCGCACGACCCGAGGACGGGCCGCTACGCCGTCGCGCTCGACGAGGGCGCCAGCGACGTCAAGATGTCGATCAAGGTGCGTGCGGCCAACTTGGAGGCCGCCGATTAGGCCGATGGACGTGGCCATTTGCCAGCAAACGGGGCGGCCGACGCTCGGTCCTTGCGCCCGATTTCACGACGGAAGGCATGAACACTGACTGTCGCCTCGGTTTCCGATGCGGAGGTGGAACACCATGCCAGGCGGCGTGCTGCGTCCGCGCACGCTTGTCGTCCGTAGCCGCGCACTCTTTTGGACAGAGGGGCAGAAGAGGGGGGGGCGGCCTGAATGCCTGAGCGGGGCTGAATCGAATGGCAATCGGGGAGGGAGGCTGTGGCCCCTGTGGGGGTGGGGTGGGGGGGGCTCGCTTTTGAAAAGAATTCAATAAATATATATTTCCCCTGGCCGGAGCCCCGCGGCGTTTTTTGGTTTTCAAAAGTGCGGCGCGCGCTCGTGTCTCTGCGCCGGGCCTGATTTTTATCAAGATCTTTCATATTGTTACGGCAGCGTGGTGCGGCTCCTCACCAATAGTCTCCCTCCTCCTCCCCCGGACGAGGCGCGCCGCACTTGAAACACGCCCTCTTCCGTGCAAACACGAGCGCACCGCAGTCCTGGCAGGTCCAGTCGCCAGGGAGCATCTCGGGAGGGCCTCCGCCCCTCGGCTCGGCGGCGCCCTTGAACCATTCCCGCCGCCCTCGAGCCGCGCCCGAGCGCCCGCCGCCGCGCCCGCCGCCGCCGTCCACCCGCCCCCCCACCCACCACGAGCGCTGGCGCCGCGCATCATCCAGAGAGACGCCGAGGTCGGCGAGATCGTCGAGCAGCTCATCCGCCTTCTGGAAATCGCGCTGCTGGCGCGCCGCGTCCCGCTCTGCCAGCAGCCGCGCCACCGCCGCCTCGTCCACCGCCGCCTCCCCGTCGGCCGTGCCGGCGACACGGCTCCACTGCCGGTCCCGCCAGCTGTCAGCCGCGCGTGCCCCACTGCCGGCGCCGCGAGCCTGTCGGCGGCTCGACTCCTGCGCGTCCTTGCGCACGTTGAGCGAGCGGCCGTCGAGTTCGGAGCCGGTCATCTCGCGGATGGCGTCCTCCGCCGCCGCCGAGCTCTCGAATTGCACGATGCCGCAACCCTTGGAAGCGCCGTCCTGCGTCTGGCTGACGCTGGTGTAGACGACGGGGAATCCGCTCGAGAGGAAGTGGTCCTTGAGGCCGGCCCAGTCAGTGTCGTACGAGAGATTCTCAACAAACACCCGGGTACCAGCAAAGTTGTCTCGCCACTCACCGCGGCCGGAGCCATGGCCGCCACGCTCGGGGCTGCGTCCGCGGCCGCCAGGTCCGCTGACTCGCTGCCAGCCGGCGAGGCCGTGCGCTCCGCGGGCCGACACGAGTATTAGCACGAGCTTCATCGCTGAGTGCACGGCTGAGTGCAGCGACGTGCCTGCCGTGAGCTTGAGCGCTCCTGCGAAAAGAATTTCGTGGTACACGGTAATTCACAGGGATGCATCTTTTGGGGCACGACAGCCTGGCGATCCTGGCGATAGCGTGGGCACAGCCACAGGCGGAGCCGGAGGGGAAACAAACGTGAAACGAGTACCGATGTGTTAGCTGGCTGGCAACAGAGCTGCTGCCGCATCGGAGTTGGCGAGGCGGGCTGTGGGCGATCGATTAGGGCCGCTTGCGTGGGTTCGAGCCCCACCACGGAGACTCTTCCATCCCCGCGCGGACCACGGGACTCCTCTGCGCACACCGCGAGGTGTGGTAGCAGTCATCATCTTCTACATCTGTGTCGCGTTCTGTGGCAGCTGTACTCATTGTGGCAGCCGTCCTTGAAAAGAATCCGCCGCGGCCACCATGTTCCCACCCCCAACTTGTGGCATTGTCGATCGCGCGGCCGCATAGCAACTACGTCGTGTCATCGCGCCGTCTGCTGCTGCTGCCGCAGCATGAGGGTCTGCGCCGCGCGCTCGCCGAACCCTATGCGCACGACCGCTGGCGCTGCCACGCGTATGGATGTGGCGTACCTTACATTCGGGGCACAGCTGACACACGCTGACAAGTTGGCCAACAGCCTCCGCGCGATTCACAACGTGGAGGCCTGGTCCGATGGTGGAATTCATTACCACATCATAGTCGCCACAATGCGGCAGCCTCCGAGGGAGGCGTGCGAGGCGATCTGCTCGCTCTCGCCGTCACGGCATGGCGACATGAGCGACCGGATCCATCTTCACACTTTGGCGAACCTGTCAAGGGAAGCGATGCAGCTGAAGGGGCGGCTCGCGAAACTGGCAAGGGGTCCGGGGAAAATGTACCTCTGGAAAAATATGATCCACTACATACTTCCGGAGCAGCTGGATCGCGTGCTGCTGCTCGACTCCGACATCTTCATCGTGACTGAAGTCGCGCAGCTGTGGAGCATGTTCGACCGCTTTGGCCCGAACCAAATGATTGGCATGGGACTCGAGCAGAACCAGTTCTACTCGTCTTTGTTCGGAAGCACATCGGGAGCCCTCGGCCTGAACTCGGGGGTGGTTCTCTACGATCTTCGACGTATGCGCGCGTCGGAGCTGTACAAGCGGCAGCTCGAGGGGTTCGCATCGCAACGCCTGCCGGTGGGCATTCCAATCAAGCCAGAGAGGACTCGCCTCGGCTACATCGCGGATCAGACCCTGTTTTCTTTCATGAGCCACCCAACTGCTGCCGGTGCGGCAGAGCTTTTTTTCGTCCTCCCGTGCGGCTGGAACAGACAGTTGAGTCCCCAGTACTGGACAACTCCGGGCTTCCTCGCTACCCACCAGTGCTCCGGTCCGTGCCACCTGCTGCACGCCAACTTTAAGCCATACAAGCGCCTGCTCGAGGGCTGGATCCAGAGCGACCCCACAGGACGCACATGCGGCGTGCGTGCGGCAGTCGAGGGCGCTCGCAACTGCACCTCTCGCTTTCCCAAACACCCCCCGCGGGAGCACGAGTGCCCGGACGCCATATGGGCCTATCCCGCTGGGGTGTACATGATGCGCGAAGTCGCGAGGTGTTGCAGCCCCTTTGCGATCGATCCGACGCTAGTGACGCCCAGGCGCAACTCATTATGGCCTCGGCACGCAGTCCAGGCCTGATTGTCTCGTGCTCGGTTGTTGGTCCATTCCTGGCGGCGCCTTCCGCCTGGCGCTCGAGGTCTTTCCCTCAAGTTTTTTTCAGTGGCATCAGTCACCGACACTCATGTGCTGAGATGACAAGAAAGGTGGCCGTCGACTCGAGTATTGAGGATGTAAACCGCCGTGTCGGCCGTCTCCGTCGACACACTGGTGAAGAGAGTGGCTTGACAGCATGGAGCAGGCGACGAAGGTTCACCATCCAGAAGAGCTTTGCCACAGACAAGCTCGGCGTCGTTGTGCCGGACAAGGACCGCGTGCTCACAGAGCTGATCCCTTGTGGCGCAGCCGCGGCGCCGTGCGTCCCCGGGCTCCAGCCTGGCGACAAAAGGTCCAGAGCGTCATAGCGGCAAGCTCATCGCCGAGACGAGACCGGCGACGCTCGAGACGACGTCACGACGAGGGACGCGCTCAGAATACGAGAACCGCAGCGCGCAGTCCAGTTACAGTAATCCACCACCCGTCGTCTTTCCCTCTCTAGGTTATGTTTGTAAGGCCTCCACACCGTGGATCTGTACGTGTACACAAGACACACTAATAGAGACGAGGAACGGCGAAGCTCAATCACCGACTCCTTTTATTCCTTCCCGGCGGCGGCGGGCTCGCGCCACAGCGGCTCAGGCCGCCCAAGCGCGGGGGCCGACCTCCGCCGCCGGCGTGACGGCTGTCATCGCGGGGCGTAGCGCATGTTGATGTAGATCCAGCAAGTCATCCCCTCCTTGCCCGTGCTGGAGAGGCGCAGCTTCGCGACCGGCTGCACCACGCTGAGGCCGTGCTCCCACCACTCGCTCGCCGTCCGGTAGCTCACCAGCACGCGAAAGGGGGAGCGCTGCAGCACGCGCGCGAGCGACGCCATCGTCGTCGGCGAGAAGACCCGGTCGAAGACGTACACGTGCGAGAAGTCGAGGTGCGAGCCTGCGTGTGCCATACCTCCAGAGTATCGAACCCAGTGTGGGGTCTCTGCCGCGTGGTAGCAGGTGTGTAGCAGATGTGCGAGGTGCGAGTCTGTATGGTGAGTACGCCGACCTCGGGGCGGGAGGACGGCATTGTGCAGTGTACTCAGAGCACCGCGTGAAGACGAGGGGGGTGCGAATGCAGCGAACACGTGCAGCGGAATACGGCCGAATACAGCGGAGTCTCTTGAAGAGTGCGAGAGGCAAGAGAGCGTACTCCGCTAAGTTTAGAGGTGTGAGACGGGGAGATACGGAGAGATGTTGGGGAGATACGGGGAGATTCCGCGTCTAGAGGTGCGGGCCGAGCGTCGCGTCCCCAAAGTGGAAGTAGACCTGTCACACATTGTAGTTGTACGTGAGTATGCTGCACACTACAGGAGCGGCGCGTCCCCAACGCGAAAGAAGACCGACTCGAACGGGTCCATGTCGACGGCCGGCTCATCGCCGCCCCCTCCGCCCCCTCCGCCGCCTCCCCCTCCGCCGCCGTCCACGCCGCCGTCGCCACCGCCGCCGCCGCTCTCCTCGCCTCCGCCGCCGCCTCCGCCGCACTCCTCGGCAGCGGGTGGAGATCGCGCAGTGCAGAGAAGGGTCGCGTCCAGCAGCAGCTCGGAGCGGATCTCCTGCAGCGAGCGGCACGCGATCTGGTGGCGCGAGATTCGCCGAGATTCGTCCGAGACTCGTCCGAGATTCGTCCGAGATTCGGCCCGGGGACTCCTGCAGCGAGTGGCACGCGATCTGGTGGCGCGAGATTCGCCGAGATTCGTCCGAGACTCGTCCGAGATTCGTCCGAGATTCGGCCCGGGGACTCCTGCAGCGAGTGGCACGCGATCTGGTGGCGCGAGATGACGCACTCGATGCCGACAGCGCGCCGCACGCCCGCCTCGAGGGCGACATGCATCACCACCTAAGGCAAGGCAAGGGAAGGTACACTTCTCCACACACACGAGGTGGTGGGGCAAGGGCCAGGCAGCCCTCGCGACTCCACGTCTAGACAGGCAGGAGCCCCACGGCATTCAATGTGCAAGGCCCAGTGCGCGTGGGCGAGCGGTGTGTGAGTGTGAGTGTGAGTGTGAGTGTGAGTGTGAGTGAGGGGGGTCGGGGGCGAGGGCGAGGGCGAGGGCGAGGGCGAGGGCGAGGGTGAGTGTGAGGGGTGAGGGGTGAGGGGTGAGGGGTGAGGCATATGCACCACCACCACCTTGCCATACCCCGACCCGACGTCGACGAAACACGAGCGGCGGGTGAGGTCCCAGCAGCTGGGCCAGCCGACCGGGTGCAGCCTGTAACGAATCATCAATCCGTCAACCATGCGCAGCGAATGACCAACGGCCAGCCAAGACGGTGGTGCAGCCGGCAGAGCACGCTCCCGCGCAAGTTGGAGAGCAGGCCGCAGAGCCGCGACACCGACCCCGCCGTCATCTCTCCGTACCCCTCCGACCCACGCGTGTTGCCGCCAAGCCCGCGAGGCGCGTCGATCCGCGTCGTCAGCGAGCCGCCTCCGCCTCCTCCTCCTCCTCCGCCGCCGCCGCCGAAGCCTCCTGCGCCGCCTCCTCCTCCGCCCCCGCGCTGCGAGCGCGCGTTTGCGGTCGAGGTTGCAGCGTCGTAGTCCGAGGAGAGGCCCCAATCGAGGTACGACTGGCCCTCGATGACCTGAGAGATGTGGAGAGGTGGGGAGAGATGGGGGAGAGATGGGGGAGAGATGGGGAGGCCCTAGTCGAGGTACGACTGGCCCTCGATGACCTTGTAGAGCCGGCGCTGCAGCAGCGGCAGCCGCGCCTCGGCAGCGACCACCTCGACGACGGGCGGCAGTGAACAGAGTAGCGATGAATAGCCGGTGGTGAGTCATGCACTAGTCGTGAATCAAGGCAGCGGCCACCTCGACGAGGGGCACCTCGAAGTATCCCCCCTCCGCCGCCTCGTCACCCGAGCACGACCCCTCCCTGACTGCAACCTCGCCCACCTAAGGGGGGAGATCGGGGGAGATCGGGGGAGATCGGGGGAGATAGGCCTTCCTGACCGCCACCTCTCGCCCACCGTCGACCCGCTGCGCTGCCGCTGCGCGCGGTCCGGCCGCGCACAGAGCACCTCGCCGCACCGCGTCGCCAGGCCTGCGGGGAGGGATGGGGAGGGATGGGGAGGGGTGGGGAGGGGTGGGGAGGGGTGGGGAGGGGTGGGGAGGGGTGGGGGGGAGAGAGAAGAGAGAGAGAGAAGAGAGAGAGAGAAAAGAGAGAAGAGAGAAGGCAGACAAGAGGGAGGGAGAGCGAAGAGAGCGAAGAGGGCGCCACACCTTGCAGTCCCGACACGCGCGCCACCGCGCCGCCCCGCAGCTCGATGCTCTGCGACACGGCGACGGGGTCGTCTCCGCGGAACAGCGCCGCCTCGTACCTTCCGCCCGCGAGTGGACGATCAATTAATGACTCATTAATCATTCATTAACAGCGCCGCCTCGTACCTCCCGTCCGCGAGCGCGCGCAGCTCCGCCGGCGTGAAGAGCGTCTCGCCTGTTCACGGCGGGAGCTGTGAAGAGGCGCTGTTCACACCCTCCGCCCAGCCGCCGGCGTGAAGAGCGTCTCGCCGAGGACCGCGTCCTACGAAGTGGGTATACACCGACGTGAGGGAGGGAGGGCGGGCATTGTGCCGCGTCTTCAGGGCACCGCGTGAGTACGAGGGGGAGGCGAGTGCAGCGGATGCGGCAGAGTACTCTCGCGCGCTAGTTGGGAGAGAAGAATCCGGCTCCCGCGTCTAGGGACCGAGATACGGGGAGATACGGGGAGATACGGGGAGATATGGGCAGATACGGGGAGATATGGGGAGATAGTCCGCGTCTCGGGGCAGCGTCCCTCCGGATGGTCTTGAAGCGGCGCCGCCACGGAGGGAAGCGCCACCGCCCTCCCCGCGGCCAGCCCTCGCAACCGTGCAGACCCACCCACGCGCCCGACGCGCCTAGTACCATACCTCAACGGGATCGAACCCAGTGTGGGTTCAGGTACCGTGGGAGGTGCGGTATCGCGAGCCCGGGTTGCCGCTAGGCCAGCACCAGCGCAGCCGGCAGCCGGCAGCAGTCGCGCCTGGAGAGGCGCCACGATCATCAGGGGGAGGTGTGGGGGAGGTGTGGGGGAGGTGTGGGGGAGGTGTGGGGGAGATATCGCACCGCCCGCCGGCGGGCAGACATCCAGCCAATACATGCCCTCCTCCTCCGCCGCCGCCGCAGCCCCCTCAGCCGCCGCCCCGCCCGCCCCATCCGCCGCCCCCCTCGCCGCCCCCTCCGCCGCCGCCGCAAGGTCAAGCCGCAGCAGAGACTGCCCCGCATGCCTCTCCGCCGCCGCCCAGCCGGGCTTGCACCCCTCCCACGCGCCCGTCAGCCGCTGCGAGGCGGCCGCGCCGTCGGACGCCTCCACAAACCAGCAGCCCGCCGCCTCGGCTACCTCTTCCTCGCCCGTCGGCTCGCCGTCTTGGCCGAGCGGCGGCGGCAGCACGTCCGTCGGCATCGAGCCTGAGAATCAATCATTCCTCATCCAACATGCATCATTGATTGGGCGGCGCCGCCCGTCGGCATCGAGCCGTGCAACGCGAGCGAGGCGAGCACCAGAGGGCCATCTCGCTCGATTGGCGAGAAGGAGCCGCACAGCTCGGACTGCAGGGCCGCCCTCTCTCGCTGCTGGAGCGGCGTGAGCGGCTGCTGGCCTCGCGAGCGCAGCGCCGCCACGGCGCGTGCGCCGCACGCGCGCGCGTCCAGCTCGCCCGAGTGTCGCAGGTGCAGCGCCTGCACGAGCGAGTTCACTCGTTACGGACGAGTTCGAGCTGGAGGTACGGGCAGGTCTCCCCATATCTCCCCACATCTCGCCATATCTCCCCACATCTCGCCATATCTCCCCACATCTCGCCTGCACGAGCTGGAGGTACGGGCACGTCTCCCACTTGAAAGAGTCGGCTGCGCGCCGCAGAAAGCCGAGCGCGGGTGCGACCGCCGCGGCGATCGAGGGCGCCGACGGAGTGGCGCGCAGCTCCGCACGCGCGCCGCGCTGCTGCGCCTCACTCGGGCCGGCGATGCAATCGCTCTCCGCGTCCGAGCCGTCCGAGCGCTGGGACGGCTCTGGCCTCAAAGCCCGAGTTGTGGTGGAGCCGGCCCGCGCACCGGCGTCGGCCGCGTCCGTCTCGCGCGGCCTGGCTCGCTTGCGACGCCTGCCCTTGGCACCGCCGCCGCCGATGGCGGGCGAGGTTGCAGGCTGCGCGCCGTCCTGGCGCCACAGCGCCGTGAGCAGGGCGTCGAGCGCGCCGATCCGATCGCCCGCGTGCTGCCGCGTGACCGCCTCGAGCTCGGCGTCGCTGACTGAGGGCACGAGCGTCTTGAGCCACGTCTTTGTCGTCGCCGGCATGAAGCAAGGCCAACGTGTGGCAACTCGCTCACGACACTCTCACGACACAGACGAGTAGGAATCCTACACCAAAAAGAATTCTGCCGCTCCCCGAACTCCCGTGCTGCCCGACGGCGGTTCCCTGCTTGCGCTTTGCGTGCTGCTTCGGCTACTCCGCGCTCGACCTCTGCTTCGGTCCGTGCAACGTTGCTGCGGCGGCGCGCCGTCCGACTCCAAGCAAGACGAACGACCTTTCGGGCTGGCGAGGGCGGCTACTTCACCTTTCGCATCCCGTCCCTCATCATTCGCTTGCCAAACGGAGACCTTGCGTGCTACAGGGCCGCCGCGACGGCCTCCCACCCTCCAAGTGCTCCCTCCCTTCGAGTACGTACTTTTAGCTTACTGTGGGAGAAAAGGGAGGGGGAGGCGCGATTTCTAGGCCCTTCTCTCTTCGAGCGATCTGTGTCAAGAATTTTGACCGCGCAAGACATAAGGGTGGCTCAGGGCTCTGCCCGCAAGGCGCCCGCGTCGCCGACGCGGTACCATTGACTAGTCCCGGGATTCACACCCACACGACCAAATAGCGAAAATCCGATCCGGCGCTTCCTTCGATTGGACGGACGAAATGATCGGGAAAAGCGGGACCGCCATCGCGAATCGGAGGTTCACCATATATGCCGAGCCTGCTCGGCACATGCCATGCGCGCGCGCGCCTCGCCAGAGCGCAGCCACCTGCGGGCCTGGCCAGCCTGTTCCTGGCTCGTGCCCAGCCTCTCCTTCCGCTGCCGCCGGCCTCGCAGTCGCTCCCGCCTGCCATCACGCTGCAGAGCCTGCGTAGACGCCACAGACGCCAATTGCAGCCCACAGCCCTGGCAACTGAGGGCGAGGGCCAGCAGTATACGACGACGACGACATCTCACACCCCGCGCTGGCCAGCGCCATCAGCCCCTCACGGCCCAGCCCAACCTCCCTTCCTAGCGCCATCGCCTCCAGCGCCTCCAATCAAGTCGCACCTCTCTTCTTCAGCCAATGCAGCGGCAGCACCACGTCAGAGGCCGGGCCGACTGGCGGACCTGCAGCCAGCCATGCCTCCCCCTCCCCACCCGCTTGGATCGATCAGCTGACAGCTCCACCAGCTCCACCACCGCGTGTTGTGTCATGAAGCATGAGATAGATAGACATGAGCACTTGAGCACTGGATAGGGTCGATTCCGCATGGCACGGGACCCCTCGATCGTCTCGCCCTCCCTCACTGGTGTGTTCATTGGGGGGGGTCATAACAAACACGGTATAGGATCGAGGTGCACGCTGCCGAAGCAGTGTCGTCCCCCCTCTCCCCGACGGCGATGGCGGTGTGACCGATCGAGCTACAGAGGAGCTTGTTCAGCAGGATCCGGGGTAGTCAGATGCACTACCTCACTGGGCCTGAGATCATCGTACGACGCCTCCCATCACCGTCTCGGGGTTTGTGTGGAGTCGAACCACTCCGGGGTGGGCAGGCCCACCACTCATCTGGTTAATTGTCAGAATTCCTGTTGTGCAAGAGGGGAGGGGGCTCTGACGGAGTGTGTGGCGGGAGAGGGCAGGGAAGCATGAACCATCGAAAGGTCTGATGGGCCTCTGATCTCCAAAAAGAACTCTCGGCTCTCGCCGCGCGCGCCCCGCCCCTTTTGCGCAGCAACACCTTAAATTTCATGGCCCTCCAAATTCGGGTCGGAGCGTAGCGGAGTGGGCCCCGAGCGAGTTTGAAAAAGGCGACGGACGCTTGCTTGCGTCCTAGCCTCCAACAACGCCTCCCCGGCGCAGAGGGGCCCCCGGAGGGATGCTCAACCGCTCCACGCCACGCCGCTTGCGGCGGTCCTACTCCAGGCGAGGCCAGTTCTTATCACAGCCACAATGCTTTCACTGACCTCGTTCAACTCTGCGGCGAGCGACGTGCGTCCTCCCTCGCGATCCTTGATATGTCTGCGATACGCTGCCACCACTGCAAGACTGTCTTTGGTGTGCCACCAAACGCACCCATCGTCGCGTGCCCCTGCTGCAGAGCGCCCAATCGAGTGGCCTCGACGACTCCCACCGCCGCCCTTCCACCGCCACATCGCGGCAGCATCTCGCGCAGCATTACCCGCGCGTCCCTCAACGGCAACCGCCGCAGCGTCCTCATTGGCATCAATTATAGCGGCCTGAGCTCTCCGAGCGAGCTGCGAGGCTGCGTAAACGACGTCAAGCGGATGCGGCCCTTTGTCGAGCGACTCGGCTTCCCTTCCAACGAGGGGAGCCAAATGGTGCTGCTCGACGATGGGAGCACGCCGCTCGCGCCAACCATGGCCAATATCCGCGGCGCCATCGCCTGGCTGGTGGAGGGGGCCGCCGCCGGCGACGCCCTCTTCTTCCAGTACTCTGGCCACGGAGGGCGCATCCAGGGGAGCGACGGGTTCCACGAGACGCTGTGCCCCCTCGATATGGCGAGCGAGGGCCAACTACTGGACACGGAGCTCTTCGAGACCCTCGTCGCGCCGCTGCCCAGCGGATGCAGGCTCACCGTGATCCTCGACAGCTGCCACTCGGCGGGCGCGCTCAACCTGCCGTTCCTCTTCACCGGGACGGAGGGCAACCTCAAGTCGGCGTTGGCGGGCGAGGCGGTGCAGATGGCCATGTCGCGCAACTGGCTGCGAGACGTGAGCATGTGGAGCGAAGGCAACCCCACCGAGCTCCTCTCTGACGTGGCGTCGATGGGGCTGGGCCTGTGGGACATCTACAGCCGGCACAAGGCTTCGCAAGGCGCGAGCGGCACCGGCTTTGCGACGGACGAGGAGAGCACCGTCGGGCTCGCGGTGGGCGAGGTGATCGCCATCACGGGCTGCCGATCGGACCAAACGAGCGCCGACGTTGGCAACGTGGACCTTCAGTTTGACCTGCAGCCGACTGCGCGGAGCGGCGCGGGCGGTGCGCTCACGTCGGCCTTCATCGAGGCACTCGACGGCCGGGAGGCTGCTCCGAGCTACCTCGAGCTGCTCGAAGCGATCCGGCTCAAACTGGCCGAAGAGGGCTTCACGCAGGTACCTCAACTGGCCTCGTCGCTCCTCGTCGACCTCACGTCGGCCTTCTCGATGCTAGAGGTCTGCCTTCCCGCCGCGGCGGGGTCGCGGGCCGCCGGCGACGAGAGCGGCGACGGGGGACCAGCGGCTGGCTTCATGGCGGCCCTGGCGGCGGCGCCGATGGGGATGCAGATGATGCAGGCGGTGACCCTGCCCGACGCTGGAGCGCTGGCCGCCGGCCTGGGCGCCCTGGGCGTTTCGGCTGGCGCGACAGACAGCCTGGCCTCGCGCGGCGTCTCGGACGCCGATGCGGGTGGGGGCTGGGGAGGGCGGCTCCTCGACGGCCTCACTAGCTTCATCGGCGGAAGAGCAGGGTCGGCGGGTTTCGGCGCTGAGGCAGGCGAGGAGGAGCTCGAGGAGGAGCTCGAGGAGGAGGAGGAGGAGGAGGGGGAGGAGGAGGAGGAGGAGGAGGAGGAGGAGGAGGAGGAGGAGGAGGAGGAGGAGGAGGAGGAGGAGGAGGAGGAGGAGGAGGAGGAGGAGGAGGAGGAAGA